TTGTTTTCCTGTCTGTATCATTTCTTCTGTTTTGAGATCTGAAATAAATCCCAGAGGACAAAGTGTTGCTGGTATGAACTACTTCTGTGTTAAAAGCCTCGTCAGGACACCCAGCTATACCAACAGGACTACTCTGCTACATCTTGAAATGACAAATCTCCTTTACTCTACACTGCCTGACGGGCTTGAATGGGAGTACTAGTAAAGAGATGGACTGTTCCACACATAGCTGGCTTTTCACTTTCTTCACAGATGTTTCATTTTTGCAAGACTTCCATGTTTACTGCAATCTATTTCATGTTGACAAACACATTTCTGGCTGCCTGTGTGTAGGTGCTATGCATACAGCATTGTCAGACTCTCAGAAACAATGATCAGAGTTAAAGATCAAGTCTTACAGCAGTACAGAAGGGTATTAAATTAGTGTTTCAGACCATAAAATGAAACAGGTACCAAGGCCTGAATGCATGGCTGATCCCTACTGCCTCCCTACTAAGCATAGGTGCAAAGTACCTTCATAAATAGCATTTTCCATAATTTGCAGAAATACTTGTTTGCTGGTACAGTATATTTACATGCCAATTTTTAATGAAACCTTGTGGGCCACTGCACCAGACATTTCCACACTCTTGCATCAAATGATGCAAACACACTATTATACAGAAAAACACAATGCATTATGCGTACATACAATGCATGAACTTTACTGGTAGGAATTCAATGTACATTATAATTACTTCAACTAAGGAGTCAATATCACAAAATAAGCATCATCAATTCCACTAAAGTAACAACTGCAGAGTTACCATGCAACCAGCTCTACATCTCTTGTTTGTTCTACCTTCTTTACATTCTTGGCTCCTCTCCGTTACAAACTGATTACAGCATGGCTTACTTTGAATTCTCTGTAGTAACTGCCCAAGTCATTTAACATCTCCAACACACCTTTCTCCAGTATTACCCCTCTGTGCAAAGCATGGACACTTCAGTGTTGCCAATCTATTGTCCCAAAGGTGCTGGAAATTTTGACAGAGACAAACCAAATCCCAAACAAAATATGACTAGTAAATACTAAGCCCCTCCTCTGGGCAAAGGCAATGAACTCTCTCAATGGTTCATTCTAAGGCAGTATTACCTAATCTATACTACATTTCTTTCCTACTTATTCCTACCTTTCAATCTCATATTGTTTTTTCTATGGGAACTACAGATTTTTTTTTCTGCTGTAAAGAGTCCCTAAAGCTCTAACCTACAAGCCTAACCTGGTGATTAGGGTTTGCACAACTACCAAAGGGATTCAACACGTAGCTGTAACCACTGATAAATCCTTGGGCTTTAGGTGCTCTGACTCACAAGAGTTAAGAAAACAGGACAAGTAGTAAAACAGGATTCAATGATCCCCTGCTCTGCAAGGTACATTTGCTATAAAGCAGCTCTAAGTTATTTATATCCACAATGACTATGACCATTTTCAGATTCTGCAGACAGTAAGCCTTAAAAATAACTTTTTATAACTATCCTGAGAGCTAATTTTAAGTACTGCAACAGACTAATAAAATGTAACAGTTTCTTCCCTACTTAGCAAATTATAAAATGCAAAATATTTTGCAGAACATTTAGTGGACATACACAATAAGAACTGTTCTATTTTCTTGGTTCCTCATATAAATTCTTCATAAGGTAGAAAGGAAGCCTAACACAGTTGTCCTGTAATTGTGTGTTTGAGGCAGGCAGCCCACAATATGTTCACAAGAACGCTGTCACTAGCCTACCAAACTACCTTGTTCACATAAAACAGATTTCAATTTAGATGCAAAGTAATTTCCATAGCTTGGAGCCATTAGAAGTTTACTGGAAGCTGGCTATAAGCACTTTCAAGGGGGTGGGGTGTTCCCAGAAGAAGACATCAGACACTGATTCCCAGGACCACTAGATCCTACACTACTTGCTAGGACGGCAAAGCAACCAAATCTAATCACAAAGTTAAAAGATTTTTCTCATATAATTATTTCTTCTTCAGTTGTAAAACTGCAGGGAAAAAAAAAAAAAAAGCTGTTGTTGGCTGAAATGAAGTGCCTAAACAACTTTTCACATAAGAAGACACTGTATCTACAGTATCCTTTGACATCTGAGACTGCCATATATCAGCTTCTAAGATAGCAGCATCTTTTGCCTCAGCAATTATCTTCTTCCAAATCAGATACACTTGAAATTTAACAGGAGCAAAACCACTTCTTAGATGGAACATCTTTGTTTCAGGATAATGCCTCAGAAAAAGTAGATACAGGGATATTGGTGCATGACTTAGTAACTGAGGTTAAGAACACAACTGTTCTTATGGGAACTAGAAGTCAGTCTGAATACAGAACATATATGGACCACGGCAAGTTCTCCAACTACACTTATTTAACAGTCTTGTGCTCCTCCTTGGTCACCTTTAGCCAGCACTGCTTTATCCTCACAACCACATCTCTCCCTGCCCCGCTTTCCCCAGCCCATCCCTTCCCCTCACCAGCCCTCTATTTCTGTGGGTTATTTATCCAAGAGTACGTGACCACAGGTGACAGAGTTTACAAAGCTAGGACACATTCCAGTTTTCACTTTCATTGCTAAAGATTACTTAAGGTCCAAAAAAAAAAAAAAAAAAGACAACATTATTACAACAATGTCAAAGAACATTCAACTCAAAATACTTCACCTTAGGATGTCTGTAATCTTTCTCTCACTCAAATTCAAAAGAGCACTATAAAGGAAAGACTGAGATCAAGGAATTTCCAATAGTGGAATAGTAGACTCACTATCCAGCAACACAGCTTATTTAACCTCACAGCTGACCTCTCATGCAGTGGACTGAAGGCTTTTTTTGATATTTTTGTGGAACACTATGTCATATTCACCTATTTCTGTAGAAAAGAATAAAGGGTAAACATGACTAGCACTATGAATTTCTCAAATTTCCACCATTTAGAGGCTTCCACAAAAAACGTTTGACAAACTGTCATGCAAGCACAGAATGAAGGATTTAAATCTACATCAGAGATTGACATATCAAACAGTTATTCTTCACTCTAATAAGAATGCTCACGGTTTCTCAGGACTTAAATGTTGAGGTACATGCTATTAGATTATTAAGTCAACTGAAAAGAAGTGGATTTTTAATTAAAAATCCAGGTATAATCACTACCAATTACCCTGAAAACTAACAGAAGAGCAGGATCTTCTCCCAGTGCAGCCCCTCTCTCAGGAGCTCCTCTCTTTTCAGTTTAACTTTCAGTGGAAAAGACAAAGAACAACTGATAGGTTATGGAGAGATCTGAACAAAAAACTGTATCTGAACTGAAACACCAGCAGAGGCACATATTGCTTGGACTTATGGAAGTGTAATGTCTTGCAGTGCAGAACGCAAGTCTCTTTCCAATAAGAACTGGAAATGCAAGCATGAAACAAAATATCAGGGTCATTTTGAGTCTGAAATAAAAACATTTTGGCAGTCCTCCTGCCAGGACGGTTTGGGGATGCTACAAAACAAACACACAGATCACTCTTCAGGTGGCTCTTGGGATACCTATGGCCCACTTCACATTTTCATTTTAAAGACTCAATTAAGGAGAAGGAGCTGAAGCTATTAACTTCCATTTAAACGAAACCCAACAGCAAACACCAAATCGCATACCTAACCAAATAGGTGAGCATGAAAGGCTCTTTCATTTGGGGAACTTAATAGCATACTTCGTACTTCTCCCTTGTGTCACAAGCAAACACAAGATCTAGTTATCAGTGACTACAGAAAAGCCCAGCACATGAAAGCGGGCAGCTATTAAATGTTACAGAAGCCCTGTTCTTACTCACCCTAGAAACCGCAGCGCCCACATTCACGCGCAGGGTCTCCGGCACCCGGCAGGGGCAGGAATCGCCGCCGCAGCCGCCGCCCGGTCCCGCCGGGCGAGCGCCCCGAGCCTTTCCCCGCCAGCCCCGGGGCGCGGCCCCTTTGTTCGGGTGCGGCCGCGCCCCGCCCTCCGCAGGTACGGGCGGCGCCCGCGGGCGCCCCGCAGCCCCGGGAAGCCGCACCCGCCCCCCGCCGCAACAGGCGGCCGGACCCCGCCGCGGCCCCACCGCCCCTTCCCCGCCGCTCCCGCGCCCGGGCGGGCTGCGGCCGGAGGTCGCCAAGGTCGACGCCCGTAACCTTCAGGGAGCGGCCACCAGGCCCCTGCAGGAGGTTCGGGGCGCCGCCCGCCCGTCCCCACACCCCGGGGTGGGGCCGCCAGGCGCACACCGCCAGTCGGGCACGGCGAGGCGGCAGCCGCAGCCCGACGCTAATTCCCGGGCGGCGCAGAGCGGCGGGTACGGAGCCGCCGGAAGCCCCCGCCCGCACGGCAGCTTCCCCCACACCGGGGAGCTCTCCCGACGCGGGCGGAGCCGGGTCCTTGCGTTCCCCCCGGCCCCAGCCCCGGCGGCCGCAGTGGCGGCGGCTTCACCCTGGTCTGATCTGGTCTGGTCTGGTCCGGTCCGGTCCAGTCCAGTTCAGTCCGGCTCGGCCCGGCCGCGCGCCCCCATCTCACCTGCGACCGTGGTGCCGGCGGCGCGCGCACCGCTGCCCGCTCGAGGAGCGCGCGGGGAGGGGCGGAGCGCGCGAGGTGAGGCCCTGGCGCCGCCTCCGCGCGCACGGCCGGCGGCGCGCGCGCGGCCCGGGGCGGAGGGCGGGCCCGGCAGGGGCGGGGCGGGGCCGGGAGCCCCGCAGGGGCCGCAGCGTCGTCACGGGCGCGGCCCCGCCGTGCCCGCCCCGCGGGCGGAGCGCGCTGTCGGGCGCCGAGGTGCGCAGGCGCAGTGCCGGCCAAGGAGGAGCAGGGCTGAGCGGGGTGGGGGCACGGCCGGACACGGTTCCCGGAAGGGGGCGGCTGCTTCCGTGTGAGGCGCGGGCGGGGCCGGGCCAGGCGGGGCGCGGCGGGGGCGGTAACGGGCGGGCCAGCGCCGGCGCCTTCCCCGGGCGGGTCATTCCCGTGTGGAGCTGTGTCTCGCTTGTCGCGCCGCACCGTAACCCCGAGCCTCAAACGGCAGAGCTGCTTTCCTTTCCTGCATCTCGTCCTTTGTTTCAGCCGAAACCCTTAAGGGAAATAGTGAGGAAACATTGTAGCTCCATGTCTGTCCCTCCTTCTGCCCAGCTAATCCCCCATCTGGAGAATAGAGGGGGCGTGTCCTGCCATGGTAAGGAGATAAATTCCCGACATCTGTCGCTAGGTTTATAAACACAATTATTTTTAGTGAAGCTTTCCGCAGGGCACAAGTGTAAGTTGAGAAAGCATTTAATATACTTACTTTAAGGAAAACGATCACTGGCAGAAGGAAACATGAAGCAGTGAACCTCTTAAATGTTTTTCTTTTATATAGTAATGGACTACTCCATGCATAGAGGATTTTATAGAGGCCAAACAGAACAGGGAGATAGGAGCATTTCCATGTTAATTACAATAATTCAAATAATAATAACAAGTGCCTTAATAACTGTATCTTTTACTGCAAAATTGTGGGCATCAAGAGGAGCTTTGTGCAAACACAACATGATTTAAACTCATGGTGTAAATGATGTAATGAAACCTAAGCATAATATGCTTATATCAAAACTGACTGGTCAGTGTGTGTCTGTTTTTCACACTATAACCATTCACAGACAATACAAATTGTTTTGAAGCATCCCCTCCTCCACATAATTGTTTGGCTGAAGGTAGTTTCCAAGTCTGGAAATTCCAGATTTTATCACCTCAGATGAAAATTTTCACCTCGGTGTTCACCTCATGGAGCCATTGCACTTTGCTTGCAAAGCAGGTGCACTTTAAAATCTTCATTGTTCTCTGTGCTCTGTTTTCTGAAATTCTTGACATTTTGACATAATTTAGCTAGTGTTTAGTCCATATTCCTCTAGAATTTCGATTTGTTGGTCTCACATATCAGCATAAGCTAATTTTTGCAAATTCCTGAGAGTTTGAGAAACTGATAGCAATCCAGATGCAATTAATTCTGATTAAAATATCAAAGTACATCCATTTACACAAAGAAATATTGGATTCTGTTAAATGGAGAGGGCAGGGAAAAAAGGAGGAGAGGAAAGGAAAGCTAGTAACACTGAGTCAACCAAATGTCCAAAATAGAATATTTTTGATATTTCATGACAGGGAAAAGTTTTCATGGTATCAATGATTAGACTTTTCATGAGACCACAAAAAGGTTGGAAGAGTCTTTGTGTGATCCTGTACAAATAATGATTTAGGAGATCTCAAGAAATCCTGGCTCAACTTCTGCAGCCCTTTGAGTATCTCTGTGCTGTATTACTTTTTAATACGTATTTCAGAATGCCTCTGTTGCAAAAGAGTGGGTGAGTCTTAGTTAAGGTCTCATTAATACTGATGCCTGCAGCCATTCAGTACTTCCTTATTCCTTCAATACTAGAGCTAGTCCAAAATAACCTTTTCCCTGTAAGACATATAGTGTACTTACCCAGATGTTGGTAGCAGCTGTTTCACTCTCTGGAAATGCCCCTTTGCATAGAATGGTTTGGGTTGGAAGAGACCCTAAAGATCATCTAATTCCAAACTCCCTGTCAAGGGCAAGATGACACCCACTAGATCACATTGCTCAGAGCCCCATCTAGGCTGGCCTTTAACACTTCCAGGGATGGGACGTACACAGTATCTCTGGGCAACCCGTTCCAGTGCCTCACCACCCTCAAAATAAAGAATTTCTTCCTAAGATCTAATCTAAATCTAATTCTTTAGTTTACAACCATTTACTCTGTGTCCTATCACTAATATGCTCATTGCTCTTTTTACCCTTTAGGTATTCGAAGGCTTCAATGAGCTCTGGCCAGAACCTTCTCTTCTCCAGGCTGAACAACTTGAGTTCTCTCAGCCTTTGTAGGAGAGATGCTTCAGTCCTCTGACCATTTTCGTGGACTCTCTCTGGCAGGTCCACATCTTTCTTTTGCTAGGGACTCTATATCTGAACACAGCGCTCCACTTGGGGTCCCATGAGGGCAGAGTGGAGGGGGATAATCACCTGCCTTGATTTGCTGGCCACCCCTCTTTTAATACAGCCCAGGATACCATTTGCCTTCTGGGCTGCAAGTGAACTCTCTAAGTCCTTTTCAGTTCAGTTGTTCTCAAAAAGTTCTTCTCCCAGTCTGGACTCACGTCTGGCATTGCCTTGACCCAGGTGCAGCACTTTGCACCTGGATTTGTTGAACTTGAGGCTCCTATGGGCTCACTTCTCAAGTTTTCCCCCTGGATATGATCTCTTCTTTCTGTGGTGCCAACTGCACCATTCAGCTTCACGGGTCTGCAGACTTGCTGGGGTGCACTCAGTCCCAGTGACAGTGTCACTGATAAAGGTATTAAAGAGCCCTGGTACCAAGCCAGGCTCCTGAGGGACACAACCCATCACCAGTGTCCACTTGGACATGAGAGCACTTACCACAACTCTGGCTGCATCCATCCAGCCAGTTCCTTATCCACTGAATATTCTATACATCAAATCCGTGTCTTCAGTTTGGAGATAAGGATGCCATGTGGGACCAGCTGACGGAAGTCTAGGTAATTGACATCTGTCAGTCTTTGTTTGTCAACTGTTGCTGTCACTCCATCATGGAAGGCCACCAGACTGGTCAGACATGATTTGCCTTCAATGAAGCCATATTGGCTGTCTTGGATCATCTCCTTGTATTGTATGTGCTTAACATTTTTCCATGCGTAACTGCTCCACAGTCTTCCCAGGAAAGGGAAGGTATGTCCTTCCCTGGGTTGTCCTTTCTTCCCTTTTTTAAAATAGGAATGATGTTTCTCTTTTTCCAATCACTGAGCACTTCACCTGACTGCCAGGGTTTCCCAAATATGTCTTAACAACATCAGTCACTCCCCTCAGGACCCTGGGATGCATCTCATCAGACCCCACAGACTTGTGGCTATTCAGTTTCATCAGGTGGTCTTGAACCTGCTCTTCACTTTACAGTGAAAAAAACCAGTTTATAGTATACCTTCCATTTTTTTGCTTGGATCTGTCCTCTGGCACCTTACCTAAACCAAGTGGAAAAATGAACCCTTTAACCCAAAACTAAAAGAAATATTTCTATGAAAATGCACTACAATAATAATTCCTATCCAGTTGTTAACAAGTGGCCATAGTGCGAGCATCTCTGGTGCACCTGGAATATTTTATGGCATGACTGTGGCTCCTCCATGTAAGGAAGCAAATGGTCAGAGGAGAGTAGGTATTGCAGCTACTTCACTCCATTGTCTGTACAAGACACAGCCCGAGGCAACAAGAGGTTTGAATTGCTCTCTGGTGTTCAAATGCTACAACAGGGACCTAAAACCATACAGGTTGTGTAGTAGACATTTGCAATGTGGTTATAAAGGGTGTAGATAATGAATGTCCTTTGTTATGTGTTAGCATATGTGCTATTACAGCTCTGCACATAAAATTCTTGAAGGGAAAAATGATGAAGAAAAATTAGGTAGAGATGTAATTAATTGTGTGCTAGCAGTATTTGCATTATGTACCTTAATACAATGAAGAAATCAACTGACAAATATTCCATTTATCTTAAAAAGCTAAAGATACAGTGGACATGTCAGACAAAACATGTCTGAAACTTTGGGAAAAACATTGATGTGCAACTTCCTTTCCCACAGAGCAAAAAGTATTTGTTCCCTTTAGAACACATTTAGTAGCACACAATTTATGTATAAACTATGCATAATTTAACACTGTAATTTTATCTTAGATTTCTGTTGACATGAATAAATGAACCACATTCTTTCTAAAACCATCTTATCATGCATAAAACATCCATTCTTCCTTCAAGTGCTCAATAAATCTTCCAGGGTGAAAGAGACTTAATTTTTCAAAGGGACAAAAGAGTAAATGAACAAAACCACTTACTGGTTCTTGAGGGCACCCTCCTATTTCAGCCCAGAATTGATTACCTTGGCATCTGCTGGGTCTGTGGGTGTATGAGCCTTTGTGTTGTGAAGTATTGCTGAACTGAAATCAATACATGGAGGTAGGATTTCCTGGTATTATAGTTAATTTCTTCTCTTTTAGAGAGAAGAAATTCAAATTTATTAGACAACATTTTTTACCAGTGTGTAAAGATGCATAAAATGTATTTGTGAATTAATGGAGTTTCTAAGTAGCAGGCCAGTTGAAAAGAAACCACCTAGCCCAAATGCACATGTATTCTGAGCAGAATCACCCCTCCCAATAAAAGGAAAGTGCTAGAAGCTTTTATCCACCTTCAGTTTGCATTAGCTGTGGGAAAACATAAGTAACAATGAGTGAAGAATATGTTAAACAATTACTTGACTAGTTATTAACATACTCATACTCCTCAAGTTTGTAACTTTGTGTGCTTTTCTGTGCTGTTGTGTAAGGAACAGTCAGCTTTTAAGGACATACTGCTCTTGAGGTATACAACTGGCATGCGTAAGGACAGATTTGGGATGTGGCTCCCACTTTACACAACTGAGTGATGGCTGTCTTGAGGCAGTGGGGCATCTGCTGTTGGGGGGTGTCAGGTCTCCCTTTCTCTCTGAAAACTAGCAGGAAAATCTGATATGACAAAGTTTATTTTGGTGCCTGCTGTTAGGCAGTACAACTCCAGGTCTTAAGTGACAGATTGCTGGATTGGAATTCATATAATCCTAGTTCTGCTCTGTGCTGGTTTTGGCTGGGGTAGAGTTGGTTTGCTTTGCAGTAGATAGTGTGGGGCTATGCTTGGGATTTATGCTGGAAACACTGTTGATAACACTGGGATGCTTGAATTACTGCTGAGCAGTGCTTATGCAGCCTCAAGGCCTTTTCTCACACTGTCTCACCAGGGAGGAGACCGGGGGCATGCTAGAAGCTGGGAGGGGACACAGCTGGGACAGCTGGCCACAATTGTCCAAAGAGATGTGCAATATGACCCATACCTTATAGTGTCATGCTCAGCCATAAAAAGTGGGAGAAGAAGAAGGAAGAGTGGGGATATTTGGAGTGATGGCATTTCTCTTCCCAAGTAACACATGGTGGAGCTCTGCTGTTCTGGAGGTGGCTGAACCCCTGCCTGCCCATGGGAAGTGGTGAATTAATTCCTTGTTTTCCTTCGCTCGCAGCGCGTGGCTCTTGCTTTCCCTATTAAACTGTCTTTATCTCAGCCCTGGAGCCTTCTCACC